CCAACAAAAAGTGTGTTTAGATAGGCGGCTTGTTTGAGTGTTATTTCATCGCAGAAATGCGTGCCCATTTAAGTTGGTAACACATTAATCGATTTTACGGTAACTCATTTAAAATTTTGACAAGAGCCGACGGGGTCAAACGGCAGGATAGTTAAACGACATGAAGGCGAGTTGGCTGTGGGCATTTGTGTTCTTTTTCTTGTTTCCCGTGCATCTAACTTCCCATGTGAGGTCAAAATGTTGCGTACAGTGGATGGAACCATGCAAATGCCCACTCCTCTACGTTGACATCGATCACACGAAATGTGGGTCGGAAATAACTCCTTCGGTTCTGGACGGAAGATTTTCTTTTTTTTACGTGAACACAGAGAACACGCTCAGAGTAAGATGAAAATTGGTAATTTTTAAAAATTCATAGTTGACTCCTATGACTAGAATTCACTCAACGGTCGCAAAATTAGAACAAAATAATTGTCAGATTCTTCATGCCACAGATCGAGTTCTAGCTCTACCACCATGTTGCTTAACAGTGCACCTATTGAGTCGTTTTAATTCATCAGGTACGAAACTACACTCTCGTAAAATTAAGATATTAGGTAGGAGATAGTGACCGTTAGTCCAATAGCATAATAATGACGTTTGAAACATATAATCAAAGTAAAGGACGGTTACAGCCAGAACATGTTTTAATGCAAGACAAGAGTCTGTAGATAATTTAAAACGATAGAACTCGAGTAGCATGGCATTAGCCAACTAAGAGCGGACGACACTAGACTAGCATTAGACGAAAACGCGAATCTTGTAATTTGTTTTGTACATTCGGACTACAGAAAAAAGTGGTAAACCACGGGAATAAGTGCCTCTATGCTGGCTTTCAGGCGGATTGTAATCAGGATTAGGTTTAGTGTTACGGTTAGGATGCACAGGGTTGGAGTTAAAGTTAGCACACGGGAATAGGTGCGCTCCCTTGGAATTTAATGCAAGGCCACCTGTAATACGTGAGTACATATTCTAGTGTCCAGCCGAAGTTGACGCTGGTGTTTCGGGCATCGAAACGCATAAGACTTTGACCAGTATTCACACACAGGTGTAATGTCAACCTAAGAACCTAAAATGTTAAATATTGCAAGGATTTTAGGCCAGAAAGCCCCCCCCCCCCAAAGTCAATCCCCGCATGATAGTATGGTGGATTTTGAGTGAACGTCCATCTATCTCCTTGGGTAAATGCTATTGGTGCGAGATCCCGGCATTAGATACTGTGCCATTTGTCTGTTGACTTTCGAGGTCTGCATTAATTAAATCCTGTTCATCGTATAAACAGACATGATTTTCTCAATTTGTATAACTAACTGCTATATTTGTTTCAGTAGGCATTGGTGCAATTACTAACTCACAGCCACGGAATCTCCCCTTGGATGTTTTCTAGCGCAATGATATAGCCGCATGCACCGAGTTGATTCAGTATGACCTTTTTTAGTGATAAATTATTCAATATTAGTTTGCCTTCGATTTCCCCCCCCTCTCCACTCCGTGACCCCTTGTGTCTTACCTTGATTTCCTAGTTTTCCCAGAGCACTTGCACTAAATACTGCGTAATTTGTCTATTGACTTTCGAGGTCTCCAGTAAGTAAATCATGTTCATCGTATAGATAAATGTGATTTTTTCAAATATCTTATTTGGAGACAGGGCCAATTGTGATTTTGTAAATTTCATAGTATTCGCAAATCTCAAAAAAGATACACTCTCCCTTGTTCTTGCGGCTTCTATGCCACATACCATGCAGTTTCCCTGAGATGAAATCCACACGACCATATCTGGACCGGCAAAAAGCCATTCTGGTCTTCCAGGGGTGTTGAGATTGATGTCTGCCATGTAGTGTGATATGTGAACGACGTAAATAAACATCGGAATAGCCGGTCGCATGAAGTATCATGTCAGACTATCAAAACGACTCTACTTACAAATGAGACTCAGAACATCAAAGGGGGAATAATACTGTCTGCATCACGTGATTCTTTATTTCTTATATCCGATCTATTCTTTTTTAGAAGGAATTCTACACTGTTGTCTTCGTTTATACTGAAAGAGATCCGGATAGAAACGACCCAGCTAGATTTCGGCTTATGTGGGCCCGAAGCAATGTTGGGGTAATCGTTAAAAGCCATTCCTTCTTTATGTTAGTAATACTAGGCCATTTCAGGATTTAATTGCCAAAAACGCTTTTTGGGGACAAAGCCCAGGGGAGTAAGGTGTACAGTTCTTGATCATATGTTACCAATAGCAGTGACTCTAAAACCCGGTAGGGGAACCTCGGGCAGTCAGGAAAATTGATGCCCCGCACGCTAGACATCCGGCCTCGAATTCACACCTCTCAAGCTACAAGTGGGAGCATCCAGTCACGTGGTCTAAGATTCAAATTGCACGGGGTCCGCCATATGCAAAATGGCGATATCCCGAGGACATACAGCTATACATGACACTGACAAGAAATACCCACTTGGAAAGTCTAAGTTGTCTTGTTGTGCTTCAGAAGGCATGTAGGGCGACAGGTGGATAGGATTGTACATTTCTGAAGACGGCGCGGCGTCAAGTTCCAGAGGTCTGTCAATATGGCACTTCGACATGACGCCAACGTCCACAATCTTGGTAGTAGTTACATGGCGTCATACCACATTTAAAGGAATTGCCGGTCCTGTCGGTGGTATCGCCGTCGTCAGCGTGGTCCGTCCTGACTGAAGAAAAAGAGGGAGTTTTGACATAGAAACATTTTCCCTCTCCAGCCTCCCTAGATGGTGCTCCAGGTGCGGAAGCCTCTGGCAAATTGGGGCGTTTCCTGTTCCCCTATGGTCACAACTACTTACTTAGCGGTCTTCGTATTGTTGGCCTTGCTGCCGGGCCCCAAGACAGGCCTGTCGCACACAATTTAGTGGTCACTCCACCGTTTTTGCTGGCCTATCCTCTGCCTTGTCCTTCGCGTTTCGGTCCGCGACTGGCCCCCCAGACCTGTGTGATGCTGTTGCAAACTGGCTCGAAGTGAGATAGTTCGACAACGAGGATTCCAAAACCTGAAGTTATATAAACAATGTTAGTTGGACGACCTTTACCGCAGCAAGAGGACGTGCAAGCGGCTCAGCAGGCAATGGAAGCAAGTTGTCTTACCTGGCGAGTGATAGCAATTTCAATTATGATCCCTTAGAAGTGCGTGAGTGCGTCTGAGCTTTCTCCATCTGCAGCCAATCAGCGAAGGGGGCAACTTAGATTGGCGACAAACTGTCGCCACGCCGAGTTCAAGTCAGGTGCGGCTCAAGCAGTAAACTGACGGGAGCCGTTGGCGGACCGAAGGCGGTATGCGTAGATAACCGCGTTGGCGACCACGTGAGCCGGCTGGCACAACTACAGCAGATGGTGGAAATTACATACGAGTTTCGCCTTTGAGGCACCCTTGATGATATACACCGGAGAGAGTTATGGCGTTAAGCCCATGTAGACGCCAATGCTCACAGGCAAGTCAAAATGAGTGTTAGCTTCGGGAACATTGGAAACTTATGACAGTACCTGCGAGACTATGGCCCTTTTCCACATTCCTTCGACCGTTCTACAACCTCTGCTATTTTCGACAAAGTTGTGACACTACCTTTTTGCCTGAAGACATTAAAGTTCAACAACTTTGTCGCTTGCTCCTTGGCAGTAAGTTGCGGTTTTGAGCTGACGGGTAGGCCCTTTGGTAACTGGAGATCGGCGGGTGGCGGGTGTCTTTGTAAGGATCAATCTAGCCTTTAGCTAATGTTGTGGCATTTAGCTGGGTCGTTTATAATTATTAAAATAAAGGACTTTTGTACTGGCCTACGGCATCTGTATCCATACCGCTATAGTAGTAGGCATGTCACGATGAAGTAAGAAAAGCAGCAAGCTGGCTCGTTAAAATTTGCGTGTTCTTAACACCAATCACTCATAACTCCAAATGAATGGGAGCAAGGTCAGCGTGTCGGAGGTTTAGGGGGTGCGGAGTTTACAAGCTATGTTCCCATGTTGGTGATGCGTAGACAACATCGAACTGGTCGAGATAGGCAAACCGGTTCCTTTTTCATAAGATCTTATTTTTGGCCTGTGGCAGCGCCACACACGGGACGGGCGTCTGTCTGTCCTTCATATGCCGGTCAAGGCGCCTTAAGTAATACCTACTAGCTTAAAAGGCCGCTTATATGTGAATCAGCACTACTAATTTTCGGATGAAATCTGCGTCTTCCTTTCTGAGCGGTGGTAAATTTCCTTTCAGGTTTGAGCCAGATTTGTAAGAAGTTCCCTGAATACCCATAAGTCCCACAAACAAAACGGATAACCCAGCTTGCTCTCAAGCAGCTACCTGTCGGCGAAACATGTGGTTTGGCTTTTAGCGAGTACCTGTGCTGTCAGGTATGGTATATCGTGCAACTTATGGAGTTAATGAATTTTTCGAGGTTATTCCGCTGTGGCTGGCGGGCCATGGCCCAAATATTACTATCAAACTTCAGTCTGAGCCTATAAGTCTCAAATGGACCGATTTACTCCAAGTTAGCGGTTGATTTCTGAGGAAATTATAAACCTGCAAGCAGATCTTCAATGTTGCACTGCTCATTACCCCAACATTTCAGCCTCGACTTTCAATGCCCAACACCTAATTTGAATGCGCTTCAAAAGACTAGGTAATTGTTCATAGGACAGGTCTGGGTCTGCTAGTGGAATACAACTTTACTGGCGTCCTTACCATGACACACAACGGAGCCAAAGTCGGACGACTTGAGCGCGCGGACGGAATGATAATGAGGAGCAGCTGCCCATCATGGGTTTCCTTCTTTTCCCATAAGTCGTATTCCAGTGACAAGTGTAAGCCAGCGTAGCTGAAAATGAGATTTCGCCAGAAAAACAGACACTCCATCGCGTCAAACCCAAAGCTGGCGACAAGTGGACGCTGCAGGCCATTGGTGGAGGCTCGCGCAATTAACCACCGCGTCTAATCTCATTTCAGTCTGCGTGGCCGGGACATTTTATTGATACTTGATCGGAGAGGGAGGTGAGGGTAACGTCGACCCCGTTCACAATTTCTCCTCTCTGTGTCCTTACGCTTCCCGAACACGGCCGATAAAACAAAATATGGTTTGGAATCAGTTATAGAGTTGTCTGGGCTTCAAGTCCTTGGCTGTTAAGTTCCGGTTTACCCAACAGTAAAACAAACGAAACAAAAGTACTTGCAACAGCTTACTCGCTGTGATTCTGACGTAATTTGAAACGCTGTGGCTTTGAAAGCAATCAACTATGATGATAACCCGACCCTCCCCCTGATTGTGTGCCAGATTACAATGACCCCTGGTAGGGTCTTTGTCGTGTAGCACCTCAGCACATAAAGGCCTCCGGCCTCTGATGTATACTTCGCGCTGGGAATAACGTGCTCCAAGGGGATGGATCAGGCCCGAGTTCAGCTTCAGGGCCATCCGGTCACTAAAGTGATCAAACGCTGTAATCACCCAGTCAGCTCATCAAACTGACACACGAAATTGAGCCATTTAGGTCCGCATAGTCTTCGTGGACGTGAGCGTGAGCCCAGTCCCGGCTCTAGCCAACACCAATCTCTGATACAGAATACACGTCTCCTACTGGTGTATTACTCCTATTTAAAACAAGATTCGGTTCTAATTATTGTAGTGGTTGAGGTGCAACTCACATCCAAGTCGCTAGAATGGCAAGATGACTTGGAGACCGACACGCATGTGGCACGCGCAGGTGGGATTCAATGTAAGGTCACTCACCGCGCTCCTCCACCACTGATTAGCCTGGACTTCCTGTATAACTGGGGCGCGATCGTCTTGATGGGAAACAGTAAGGTAAATACTGCACGACTTTCTCCATCCTCCAGTCCCCGCTGGGATAGTGGCGTTCAGCATAGATTGTAACCAACAAACTATCAGCCATTAAAGAGGTACAGTGGGTGAGCGCACGTCTGTCTCCAACGTCCACGCTCCGCAATACCGTTCTGAATCGCAAACGCATCCGATAAGGAATGTTAACAGGCCTTGTCAATGTCATTATCCGGTAAAAACGACATTAAATCCCCACCAACTAGTCTCCTAAGAATGTTGTTCTGGAAGCTAGTGATGTGTAGGATAAAGTAAGTAGTCAAAATGAACATTAATTAATCCATTTTTTGCCTCCTCACGCCTTGATTTAGCTTTTACCGATGCTGTTTGACTTTCGGCCGTCTCAGAGGGCAGATGATGAATTTATTTTCTTTGATTTTATTAGCGCGAAAGACTGGCGTACATGTTCTACGAAACGGAGTATGTTGAATCTATATGGGTAAGTTAGCCGACATCTCAATGTCTTGATTATTTGCATATTCAGTTGCCTAAGTGAAAGGCTATTTTCTGAGGCAATACAAATGTAGGCCACTTAAGGTCTTCTAACAGAGATATGATAAAGTAAATCCACTGATGCGAAATGGGTACATACTGTAGGTGTGCTAACTCATGAAACCTTGGCCAAAATTCTGAAATGCGTTTTCGTTTCGAAAAGATTACTTAAGTAGGGTTATACATTAATCATCATACATTATTGCTGTATCCAGTTGGTCAACGTTTGGAATTCTCCATGACTTCAACATTAGTAAATGCAGAGACACGATGTTTTATAAACGGGCATTTCACGATATTAAAAATATCATAGTTAGAAACTTTCTGGAAACCGAATTGTACACTTTTTCTGAGTATGAAATTGGAAGAAGACGTATTTTTCTACCGAATGAGTAAAAAGATGAATGTTTTTATGCATGCTTTCCATGAAATATAATTGAATTTTTAAGGGCATCGGAAATCAATGATGAAAATTCACGCTACTTAAGTAGTCATTTTTACGGATTGTGGTTTTGCATGCGGTCGGAAAGAAGTTCGATCGAAAGCCGGCATCTTGAGGTAACTGAATTATTATAGAATTATGCTGTACGATAATTGATTCCAAAACTCCTGAGGTGATCTTTCGAACCGAAAACGCCTTTCAGAATTTCGGTTAACATTTCATGAGTTACCACACCTACTGTAACTTCGTGAAGTCCAGGCCCATGAAATGCTCTGCTAAATACTACTCATCCAACAAAATGGATGAACGTGCGACAACGCCCCCTTGAAATGCACTATCTTTCTAACAGGCATACTTACTTTCTCCACTCACAGGGAATGGAAAGGTAAGGAAAAAGCACAAGGTACTTGGGAATGAACAACAGCGGCAAAGGTGCGGACATAATCCTTGCTTAAGTAGGAAAGCTAGTGAAAAGAGAACAATTAGAAAGACTGGCAGACGTAGATACAAATGCATGATCTGGCAAGTGAGTAGATGAGAAAGCCACGGAAATCTGTCCTTTGTTGACACTTACACTCCATTTATAAGCAAAAAGGCGACTTTTGGGGAACGATGAGGAGAAGTACTCGTTGAAGCATGTTCCCCACTGCCCACAAATTTCGGATTTCCAGTCAGACCTCTCATTACGAATAGTATCAGATGGTGCTGGTTCAACTAGTAATCCTATATGCTAACGTAGTGAGTACTTACCCATTCAATCAGGTCTATGTGTTATTTATTGCTGAACTCTCGTCTGCATCGATGCCGCCACCCAGAATCTCCAGTCTTTGCAGCTGGTATTTGATAATATAGAGTTTCATAAGAATGTCCCTGTTTCGATAACTGAGAATGGTGCATATGCTTTGCTGATCGGGAATTTTGAGACAGATTGTTTATACACCCTCCTTGAGGCGCCACTGAGAGCTTGCTTTTCTGTCTAAAATCCGCTCAATTTTGCGGTTTCGGTACATAGGAACATTCATCCCCAAATACAATAAAGAACACTGGCAATATGCATTTACAACTTTTCATAAAACCAGCTTTTTAAACTTGACGAACCTTTTATGTTTCTAGCTAAATCGTGAAAGGAATACCTTTTACAGTAAGTTTCGGAGGCCGGCCTCTTATTGATATCCTTTCATTTGTGCTTTCTGTTTTTTCCTTGATACCCAGAGAGAAGCGTTTGAGCTTGCATGCTGCCCAAATGACAAAATCTACTTCAAATCGATTGCCAATAGGCGAAAAAGAAGAGCACCAACTGTAGAAAATTCGCCCTGTGTACTTTTGGCTGGCAGACATTTCAAATGGCATAGGCAGAATATTCACCGATCGACCCTGATTTCAGGATTGAATAGGTTCCATTTCTTCGGGCTCCCGATTGGCGGCGATGGTTACTTCAGTCACACCAGACATCGTAGCATAAACATTTTATCTGTATACGGTCCTTGTGGCGGTCAAGGTTGTGAGATTAACAATAATTTCGTTCCGTCTTATGTCAGAAGTCAGGGGGCTGTGAGAACACGTTTATTCTGTACACAGGGAAGGTTGCCGCAAGTTGGCTGTTTGCTTGTGACAGAGCTAAGCGTCCGGTTCCGGAGAGCGTCAGTCGCAGTGTGGTGTTTACGCGGGAGCGTGCCTGTGTCAGCAGAGGGGGGTGACTGGCTGAGTGTTGGTCATGTGATCGGACGAATCAGGGGAGGAATAGGAGGGCGCATACTCATAAGGGCTCACGGGTATTAAACCAGGGCGTCCGACGCGCGTGAGGTGGTGAAAGTTTGTGAGGGCAGCCGGGAGTCACTGGAGCTGGACGGGAGGTGCTTCAGTTCTGGCCGGCGGGGGTGGCCGTGTGTCAACGGCCTGTTAACAGTTGTCGCGTCCATCGACTGACAAAATGGAGTCGGAGTAGGCGACACTGGGGCGGTTGCTACACCCTAAAAGCGGCCCTCGTCGCCTGCAGCATCATGTTAACCGCAAAACCGCTTGAAACGTTTGATTTTCGAGGAAGATCTTGGTGATAGGGAGATTATGAAGCTTTTTAGGCGCTCTGAGCAACTGGTATACGGACATACTATTGTCGCCACAACATTCAACCTGTTTTTCCTAACGGTCCTCATTTGCCCACATACATGCGGAAACTGCTTGCGGCATTCTCGAGTATCACCAGAATCGTGTGGTGTTACAAAGCGTTGTTTCCAAAACAAGGAAGTGTTCCTTCCAGTCTCCACACATTTGGTACCCAACTTGAGTTTGCAAAAGCATAACAGAGCTACGAATGACAAAATCGATATGGGAATAATTTATATATAGATTATGAATACAGTTGGGACCACGAGGCACATAGTTCAGAAGGTAGCGCGACTGGTATCATATGCAGTGCCTTCAGCTTATCTCGGGAGTAGCGCCGACCGACTATGCTTTTGGCACAACCTGAGTGTACTGCTTTCATCCTCTCGTTGCTGAATCTCAGACAAAGATGCCTCCGATGCAGATGGTTGTGATTTCAGTCACATCGCCGCTGTATCAGCTATTGATGCCATCAACGAATTTTTAAACACTTCACATGCTAACTAGAATGTTGTACAATACGGGCTGTATCTCTCTAACCCATGAACAGTAAACTTCACATGCAAATGCACAAACTACTGTCCATGCACAAGTTCACACCCACCCTAAAGGAACTTGGTGCATACGGTACAAAATCCTCTCAATAATAAGCCTGTTACAAATATTCCTCGCATTTGATCTGCCCTTATAAATTACATATTTCAAGAAATCTCGTGGAAGAAATCAAGTGGAAAAAGATCCAATGCCCAGACAGTCACTCCAAGTGTCCCCCGGTTAATCCACCAGTCGTCGGATACGTCGATGAGACAACCCAGGCCGACATGGACATAAGGTAGAGCGGTTTCGTCCTACTAAAACCGCACATGAACCACCTGCTGCCACAATAGTTGGCGTTAGGACTCTGCATGAACCACTCCTGCAAATAGGCGTTAAGAGTAGAAATCTCCTTGCTAATCCATACCACCGAGTCGAAGCTTTGATACTCGAAGGACGTGGTACGGCCGAAGATGTTTTTAACTATTTTGTAGGCGACAGCCCTTGAGGAGCTGAAACTGTGGCAAGCTGCTAGGCATTCTTTAAGGACGTCACCATACGTTCTGCGTCTTGTATTTACCCACGTCGTCAGTTGAAGCGCAGGATCTCAAACTACTCAGTGGATCATGAAGGATGTCTGTTTTAAGGAATCTTTGGGCTGCATCAGTGACCCCCCTCCCAAATACCTAAGATTGAACTTTCTTGCGAACTCATCCGAGTTCCGACCATATTCTTAAGGAAGAACTACGCATTTAGCACTCTCATGAACGACCATTTTTGTCGTTTTTGTCTCTCCACTGGTGGCGTCCGCGCGCAATTGTTCACCGCAATTTCAAGAGGCCAAGCGATTTTTATTATCAAGAAAAGCGGTTACAACGACAGTTTGACCGTCGTGAACAACTATATCCACCCTGCGACCTACAGCATGGTGGGTGCAGGGACAATGATTTGCTTGCCAATTAGTCTACGGCGACAGACGACATGTGCTACATGCAGCACACATACTTTCCTCCCACATCCACCTCTGCCCGGTGTCGAGACTAAGTCAGGAAGACAATAGGTGGGATCTGGAACAGTGGGTGACAGGGTTAAGCAGCCTGTTTGCGCCTGCCACACCAGGATCTAACCAAAACAACAAAGAGCGGGTCATATTCCAAATAAGTAGAAGCACCGTAGAGGCCAACTTGAGGAAGAGCCATTACAGTCTCCAAAAAGCTGGTCGGGCATCTGATGCGGGCGATTGGTGCGGCTTGAGCCTGAGACTAGGCCTGCCACCACATCCCCATGGGTGTCATGGGCGCGCAGCTCGGTTAGAGCGTCCACTACCCTAGTCTGGATCTCCTATTAGTCCGGCACGTCTCTCGCGAGGTCCGTGGGGAGGCTGAAGAAAAGTACAAATACTTAACTGACTACATGGGCCTGGTAATTAAAGCTATCCACCTATGGATCTGCCTTTTAGCTTTATTCATACCTATTTGAATAGCATCTACAACCTGGTTAGTGCGCAGAGAACTAAAACGCACGAATGCAAATGTCTTCAATTGAGGCTCCTTTGAGAGCACTCTGTGCCCGAGACAACGTACATTTTTGCCAGGAGCCTTTTTCTTGCCATTTCCCGTTTATATCTCTCCACCTTTTTGCGTTGACATCTTTTGCTAGATTCGCTGCCTAAAACGTAATTTCTATGCTACCAGATCGGCTGGCCTACTTTCCAGTTACCAAGGCGACATTGTCCGCAAATTATCTGACAAGAATCACCGCTTTCCTAGTCGAACAGGAGGGCTTTCACTCAACTCAGCCCTCCGTTAATGAGACCCAGGCAAATGATGCCAGCCGGGCAGATCTAAATACTCTTATACCGGGTCTTACGGTGGCTGCAGTCAGCTACCTTTTCAAACCCGTTGACTGGCGGTCTGATACCCTGCTTGATCCGACTATCTGGATTCTGACACAGGACTTCTCCCATATTAGCATAATTGGGGAACATGAGTACGTGACTAATACATTCCTTAATATGTAACGCAAAGTTCAATCTATATCTCGTTCTGAAATGCGCCAAAACCCCTTCAGCTATCTATGTGTAAGCACGTTTAAAAATTAAAGAGTCGTTAGAAGTCCACCCTTGTTATGTACTCAGACGGCTTTCTAAAGTTCACAGGAAACATCTGTACGAAAAGTGTCGGCTGATTTTTTTGATGAGGCCATCAGATATTGTAGTTGGCAGACGAAGACAGAACGACGATACAATGGGAGAGCGGCTGTTTCAGTCTTACTCGTGTTCCATGGGTCAGGCCAACAGCTATAGCCGAGCAAAAACCGAGCGCTTGCACAATATAGATAGTCGCAACTGATTGTAAGAGAGAGAGAGAGAGAGAGTCAGCAGGACTGACTATTAACTAATTAAACCGTTGACAAGTATGTGGACCTGCCATTTAACTGTGGTATAACTGAGGTAATTAAACAAACTCCGTAAGGTCTTCTTATCATGCCATACTCTTGACGAATCTACTCCGAAGTAGGTTAAATAACTACAAAGAGAAGCTAACCCATTTGTTACCATCAGGTATGCGCAATCCGATATAGGGCTGCAGTGAGTGGTGTATGTGAGACCTGTTCTTGACTTATCATAGATCAAGTATTCAAAAGAGAAGGCCTCAGATGAGTAAGAATACGCACCCATAATGTTTTGGGAATCGCCCGCTAACGGAAAACCCGGAGACGTTCTAGTGGATAGAAGTCATGAGATGCAGCTGACTGTGGACACCATCTGGTGCTGAAATCCTGACCGAGACGACATTGATGAGCCAGCGCTTTGTCATCCTGTAGAACTGATTCTGGCAGGCTTGACAATACGAGAAGTTGATGCATCAGCAGTAGCGCTATATAGCACAAAACATTAGCGTTCTCTTGAAGGCAAACAACGTAACTCATTTCTGAAGAAAATACAATCGTTGGAACTCATTTCTGTCCTCCTGACAACTGAGCAAACACGGATAGAACCTCCATATTTTACGGTCAAGGAACTCACTCTGTGATAGGATAGTTGGCACTTCGACTCCGAAATCGATATTTGTTCGTCAGTCCATCTCAGTTGGTACTGCGAATCACCAACCCATGCAATATGACTCTCTTGGGAATGAAGTCGTGTACACGGTCGCAGATCCAAGCCCGATGGGCTCTTTAATGGCTTCCAGTTAACCGCTGCACGTTATTGAGTCTTCTCTTCTTTGAGCAGCTTTTCTTGAAAGTACTCTCTGCATTACGAATGCATGCTTAAAATCTACCTTCGCGTAGCACAACGAAAGAGGATGTTAACAGCCTACAAATGACGCAACTCAGCAGCCTCATGTGAATTTCCACCGTCGTTAACGTTAAATGGTCGTTACCTGTAATCCACTGATAAGTGCTCGCTGTTTCGTTCCGTTCAAGATATGGTATGGCAGTGGTTCTGAAGTTACCCCAATAGTTAGCTATTCACTACTTTGGATTGACTGCATTCTGCATGTTTTCTTCGCCAACTAGCGTAGTGGCCTCGAAATAATGGTTTGGCCATGGAACGAACAAACCATCCATTCTTGAGTGTGGAAAGTTCCGCAGTACGCCCAGTTCGCCATGACGAACGCGAAGTGCCTTCTTGTCTCAAATATGGGGCACAAATCTACCTAGGTTGGCGAAGTTGAGGGTGCTGGGGTGATAAGCCGTTAAATAGGCAGAACTCACAGGAACAGAATTGTTATGGCGTTGGCATTTCTTAAAGCTTGGTCGGCTCACTATTACGAAGCATTGAATGCAGAAGAGTGAACAGAAATCTAAATGACTGGCCTAGCTAGTTGCCCCCCCAAGCTGATCGATTATCTCTCTTTTCGATGCCTCGGCCTTTGGGGGATTTTTGGGGGGCTTGACTGCCGCATATGGTAACGAATCATTCCCTCAACGAAGGACGGTTGTGCCTCTGCAGGGTTTGTTTGTTCTTATGGCTCTTCGCCTCCCCCCCCCCCCCTCGGGTGAGTTCGCTGTCGGCCGTATCTGCCCATTTTCCTCAAGTTCGATGTTGTCGTCAAACCCGCCAAATATCCGTTCGAGACAGCTACTGAAGAAAAGAGCTCAAGGCCGACTAACTCAACCAGACTTTCATATTGTTGTTCGATGTTCTGCATTTAACGCCCTGACGTTAGTGAGCCAATAAAGCTCTTCGAAATCTTTCCCAGTGAGCCCTTTCTCCCTTACAGGCGTATTTAGTTTGACGATACACTGGGTGATCCAAGCAGACCCTCATGCCTGGCTGACAGACTTCACTGCCGTCCGCCACGTGATACCGCTTTATTCGTGTTCTATGTGTGACATTAAGCTCCTTAACAGGCTTAAGATGAAGACAGGTGACACGTTACAACTGTAGTAGTTGACGTAACTAGTACATTGTGCGTACACCCATGAACAATATCTAACCAATTAGACGCCGTTTTAAATGAATGACCAGAACGTTCAGTGAATAATGAACGATCTTGAGTTAAAAGTGCGGCATGGTAAGTAGTATTATTTTTGGCCAAAACTAAAAATTTTCTTAAGAAACTCGAAGACAATGAAGACGCGAAAATGTATGTCAAATGAGTAGGTCCAAATTTCAAAAGTGCCTAATGAATGTCATTGCAAACAACCTACACATAAGAACATTTAAAATACATATATAGATGTTCCCCTGTGTAAGTAACCTCCGAGAATTAGTAGAATACGCAGTATGACATTTGGTCAATTGGCTGGTGCTTGATTGCGTTTCGAAACTCTACTACGAACATTCGGTTTAATATTTTCGTTTTTGTATTGTTTGGGATGTCGCAAACTACGGCGGACAAGTTTTCGTTTGATGTAACGTAGAGAAATAGAAGTTCTCCTAAGATCGCCTACAGATTAGTCGACCAGCCAGCATGAAACTCTAGTAGGATTGGAAGGTGCGACAATAGGCGTACCATTTTCTGTGAACCATTTCAGTTTTCTTCCGCACAGTTATTGTGTTTTTTGATGATGGAAGAGCCTATTGAGATTCAGGGAGTCCTTGAGATGTGAGTTAATAGATAACGAAAAACCTTCAAAATATGACAGCTATTTAAAATATTCGCTCAAGTAGTAAGTTTGCGGATGTTATTTCTTAAGCAGATGACGATTTGGGCCATACTAATAGGCGGAATGAAAAATGAAACCTAATTGCCGAAGAAAGCTGCCGTCCACAGCGTAAACGTGTAAAGAACATGCTATTGATTAAATGTCAGACCTTTCTAACAAGTTATCTTTCAAAAAATGCTTGGTCACGGTGCTTTGCTGATGGATGTCCACGCCCTTCATTCTACCAAAAGAAAGTCGGGAAAAAATTGAAACATTTTGCCCGCTTATACGTCTTTCTGATAGATACTGGTAGACATTTTGTCAGATTGTGAATGCTTTGTTTTGACTCATTTGGGAAAAAATCGAGGATCTTGGTGGGACCGGAACCCACGACGTCAAGGGAAGGTTTGAGCACGGCTAAACGCTCCGGTCACCCGAGCTAGGAGGCCACGTGCGGAGAGGCGGGCTGTTGTCTAAAAAGTCAGATTACAGTTGAAAGAGCTATTAGATTCAATGGAGAGGAGGATTGTTGTGCAAAATTATTGTATCAAATCGGCGTCAGTGGATGTCGTTGAAATCGAAAACACCCTTCACAATATTGACGAGCACATTGCTGTTGATGATGTCCATGGTCGACCACCGGACTGGCTGCTCTCTGAAGCTAATAGCCATCCAAACCAATAACCGTTGACAATTCTTGAAGGTTGCCGTCAGTAAAGTGTGTTCTTTCGGGAAGTCCTTTCCGCATATGACCATCTGGGACGACTTCGTGGACTTGCCTAAGAATAAACCATAATCGCAGAAGTAAATGCTCCTCGGATTGAGGGTCGGTAATCAATATATTTCTTAGCAAATAAAAAAAGCCCTCTGATAAGTTTTATACTTAAAAACGGCTTAATCATGACCTTTTGTTGATGAAGTTTACATTTGTACATCATTTTCCCAAATATATTCATAGAAAACATCGGTAGATGTTACCTGTGAATAGTCTTAATGAGCATATAATGACATTTTTTTGATGAACGACGAATAAAATCGTCTTTTTGCTCACTTATGGACCGTTTTGGTTCACCCAGCTTATTTCTGGGTACAGTTCTATCATTAAGTATTTGTCACAGAGTAACCTTACTAATAGTGAAAATACATGCTAACGACTCATGCGACAACCCTTCCGCTGCAAATTTCCGTATCCTTTTGTAGTCGACTGCTGAAAGACATTGTCTGGGTATCTTTACCGCACGGCGTGGCACAGAAAACTGAGGGCATGTCGCGTGTACTCAATATATATCTGTTTACGTCTATTAGTTATTGGTGCAGTATAACAGTTGAGCAGGTTTATTTTTATGTTTTATGGCACGAAACGCCATAAGCTGAATCTATCCTTTTTTTCTCAAAAATAATGCAAGTTCTTATACCCGTACTCACCTGATTTTCATGGAAGCGGGAGCAAATTTTCCGTTCTCGGACGGGATTTATTTCGCACTTTTCCTTTTTATATTAATCTTCCTATAAAGCGCAACGTAATTAAACATGAAATTTTTGTCTTCAAATTTCAATAGCACAGGAAATTTTCTGGATATCAAGAAAGGTCGGATCTAACCCATATCTGACTTGTTTTCGTTTTATAAAACAGGCTAGAAATGGAGTGCTTTTCAGTAACTGTTTTTCTGCGCCTCAAAGCATTTTAATAAACACAAATAACAATACCAAAT